TACTTTTGAATTAATAATTGATCATTTAAATCGATCCGATCATACCTGCTATATTTGTCCATTCATCTATTATGAAAAATTAAGTTCATAATTTATGCTTGAGAATTAAAATAATAATTAAGCATAGGTACATCGCTTATTTTTATTAAAATATCACAATGTAAGTATTAGTACCCTAATCCAATGCAATTGAATGTAAAAACTTTGAAGTAAAGCCTTAATTATCTTTATTACTTAGCTGCTTTTATTATACATCATTTTACGAGATCTTCTTTTTCTTTTTAAATGGAAAATTGTCTGGCATAAATATTTTATAAAATGTACGATGACCGCTTGAGATGTGATTTCCAGCAATAGAATATTAATTCAACATTTTACATAATATAATACCTGTGTTAGTGTGCAAGAGTAACTAACAATAGAATAAACGTTTGTGTTTCAATGTCAATGTAAAGTAAGCCCGACAACAGTGATCCGCATTTATTTATATAATGAGTGTTTAACGATATGCAATTTTATTTCTCGATGTCCGTGTTTCAGTCAAAGAATGCTGTTTATACGAGCTGCCGAACTTGGGTTTTCGAGTTCGCACGACGGACGCAAACGTGATTATGATTGATCAACGATCAATATAAAAGTGAAAAAATAACACCGGCAAGAAACACTTTGTCAAATAAATCGGAGGAGAAAATGACAAGCGGGTAATTTCGACCAATCATTCAAGCCAAATCACACAGGTACCCATATATATATAACATACAAAACGGCGGAGCAATCGACACCAAGCCCGACGATAATACGCTCGACTGATCGTTTCCAACACGCCTGTTGTCCGATTTCAATGTCGACAATAGTTCTGAAATTCGGTCAGGAAATCCCATGTTTTTCGAACCAATTTTAATAAAATATGCTAAATGTAATCACATATATAAATATATTATATTGAGCATACTCATTCAGCTCAAGGATTCGTGTCCATATACGACAATCGACTTTGTGTATAGGTACATTTCGACCTAATTTGTTCGAACATCGATTCAACAAGTTGAAATAAAAAATTGAAGAAAAATGGTGCGAATACCCGTATACCGGATCATTGGCCATGGTACCTTTAAATATATGAAAGTATAAACCATTATGATCAATCGTCTTAATCAAAAAATCAATAAGCTATTATTGTGTTGATGTTTGGTGGTTTTTATAAAGATGCTGTTTTGAGATTTTTTGAACGTCCCAAAATCTGTGTCCATATTATTATGTTTATACGTACTGCAGTCAGGGACCCATTCCAGTAGCCGTAAAATGTTATAATGTCAAGTCGTCGCTTATAATAATTATTTTAAGCGACGACTAGTGCTAACCCGCTAGGGCCGATAATATAATTATAATATATACCATATGTATCAAAAACCATTCGTAGAGACTAGGGAATGTCAGCTCTCGACGATGACAATAATAATATTTACCGCTCACGGGATATGTCGCGGGCGAGGATCTGTCGAAAATAAATTAATTCGATGTAACAAAAAAAAATAAATAAATAGAAGTAGAATATCCAGTGAAAGGCGATACGTCTTGGACCGGCGGTGACGGCGGCACTCGTCCCGCGGAGAAATCTGTTGGTATACAGCACACACACACACACACACACACACACACACACACACACACACACACACACACACACACACACAGTAGACTTGTCTCCCGTGAGAGAACCCAAAACGCTCTGAATCTCACGAAAAATACTGGTGCGTTTTGTTATTATAATAGATGTTTAATAATATTATTTATTTGATTTTTGTTACCACCTATTATATATTATATGTGATACTCGAGAATTATAATAATTTAATTCGATTTTAATGATATAATATTATAAAGTCATCTACAGTGAGACAAGCTTGGAAAAAAATTGGGGTGTAAATGAGAATGTTGTATTTTTATCATTTTTATTTAGGTATTTTTATTTACTCTGTAGGTATATTAATATTCGATTTTTATATGTACTGTAATATTTGTAGAATGCATAGGTATGAAACTATATTGGAGGTATAAGAATGTTTAGTCTGAAGTATTATACATTTATGATTATAAAAGTATAAAATAAGTATTTAAAAAAAAAAAAAATTATAATATAAAATAGGTACCCAACATTACCGTCATCAGCCAGTCCTTCACACAGACCCGTTATATCATATATATGTCAATACGGTGGTGACATATTAAACTACAATAATATAATATGATATGCTGCAAATGTTCAATGACCGCTGCCCAACTCATCTTAGACCTCGATACTTTGGACCAAATTATATTGGTACATGTAACATGTATAATATAGTATATACAAAGTTTGTGTATGAGCGTACAAGATCTGCCAGTTTTCTAATTTTCCTAGTGCCCTTAATAATATCATTGAATATTCCGTTTCAAAAATGATAAACCCTGCAGTATATTACCTATCATGATATGTTTAAAACGACATCCTAGGATGGTTTAAGGGCATTGAGTTCGTTATTTGGTCATGTAGATAAACCGTAATAAGATGCTTTTTATTGTCCATGGATCAGCCAATATTTTATTCAAGCATTATAAAATAAACCGCTATTAATACCATCTTATGTCTTCCCCGGGTGTCCTCGAAGTAGTCGTCGCTGAAGCTTTATACCTACTAAAAACAACCCCCTACGTGTCTTTCCTATAATATAGGTCATATAGGATAACAATTTATAATGATACCATGAAGTCCGATCTATTAAAATATACCAACAACCGGATTTCAAATTTAATATAGGTACATACCTTTATATTCTATAGAAGAGCTAGAGAGCGTAATCAAACTTTTTTTAATTTTACGTTATTCTTCGTGAATATGTATTATTTTTTAGTATAGAAGTGTAACTTTTTACATTTTATGAACGACATAAACAGCTACAGAAGTCTTGTAGTTTTAAAGATATTATTGTGCATTTCGTGTAGTGTTTTATTTACCCATATACGATGAAAACTCAATTTTAAAATAAAACTTTTTTCATAGGCTCCACGAACGCCACGCACGTGATATCGTATCGGTGATGCGCTTCTGCATTTGGCGGCGGCGTACGTGGACCGTCACTTGACCAACGTTGGGTTAAGTAAGGTTATATTAGGTTAGGTCGTGGTTGCGGTGGTTGGGGCGGTCGTCGACGGGCATCACTCGGACAACAAAAAAAATAATACACTTGCGGGGTAACGAGACGACTGCAGCAGCACCGGTGCCGGATGCACCGCAAGCAGTATTGTGCAGGTAGGTGAAAATCTGCTTAAACAGAGGTGCATCGCAGGTTGTCTACCGACCATATATGCATTTAAATGCGCGCGAGCATTACAATAATGTGTACTTAGGAATACGCCCGCACGGCTGTGTGTGTGTGTGTGTATATTATAGTAGTTTGATTATTCTTCGTCGGAGAGAAACGGAGAAAAAAAACCTCTAGAAACCTTGGCGGCGCAGAATTAATAATAACCGTTTATCTCGGGCACAACAACGGCACAAAAGTCTCTCTATATATTATTATCGAGAGGGAGAGAGAGAGCGAGAGCGGGCATTATATTATATTTGTTTCATTTTTTTTTTTTGTTCCACTCATCCTTACTTAAATGGCAACTCCAAGGTCCCCGTGTATTGCGGGTCAGGTGAATACGAAATAAACATGTACGCAGTGATACAAAAATATTACAAAACCATTTATTTACAAAAAACATGTTTATAGGAAAGTTTTTTTTCAACAATATCTCGTCGGAGAATACTAGGTATAGTGTTGTGTACTTTAGCTAAAATTATAATGATTATTTAATAGTATACAAATAAAACTTTCGATTTTTTTACTTTTGTTTTTGTATTAAATATAATAATATATATATAATATATATATTATTTTACAATGTATATAGGATCGCGTTTTGTGTAAAACTTTTTATCTATTATTTTTCAATTTTATTTTAAATTACATAAATATATAGCTAAAGGAACTAAACTTTTAAATAAGAATACTACTACAGTTATTAGAATAAATGTAACCAATAATAATAGTAATGATAATAATAATTAAAAAAAATACAAATTAAAAAAAATGTATTTGACAATGTTAGTTAAGAGAAAACTCAATACAGTTCATACTAAAAAAAAAAAATAATCAAAAAACAACCATAATTTGCTTATAAAAAAAAAAAAAAAAAGATAATAAATTAATCGCATAATAATAATTAATTAAATGTCTGAACAATAATTACAAAATTACAATAGAAACTTGAAATATGAATTCATGTTCTATTGTCTAAATAGCCTACTATAGATTTATATTTAAAAAAAAAAAAAACATAAACGTTTGGTGTAGCAGGACGTACACGTTCGAAAAAAAAAAGTGTGGAATAACGGTTTGCATTCTGGGTTTTGCCGGTGTCATAATATTTTTATAAAAAAAAAAATTGAAAATAGAAAGTAGAAGTATTACAATAATTAAAAAAAAAAAAAAAAAAATCGTTCAAAACGAAATTCACGACGCACAATGCCGTTCGCCCGTCTCGCGCATATTATACTATACGTTTCGAAAAACGGCAACGGAGCGGACGGAATTTTGGCCACAGCTGAGATATTGTGCGGACCGTGTGAGTGGGTACGTCGAGCGTATTCGTTTTCAACGATCGCGATCGCGCGCAAAGCGGACGCGTTATGATTATAAATATTAATCGTCATTAAAAAAATAAAATGGATAATGTAAAATGGTTATTGAACGGAAACTCGTAAAAAATATGATAATAATGATTTACGTTTAGACGGGCACGTGCCCAATGTTGTACGTATAAATGATGTAAATCGAGTATAATAGTGTTATTATACATGCGTTATAGGAATGATGGATGAATGGAATGATGTCATATAAGCGCCTCCAGCTGGTGCCGTGCCACCGCCGCCACGGTTGCAGCGACCGCAATGCGGTTGCGTGCGGTGCGGTGGTCTACTGGCACGTGTTGACTGTCTTCCTGTACTGGCACACGCTGCACTTGACCTCGCAACACCACAGGAAAGTGCAGTTACACCGTTCGGACACCAGGGCCTGGTGGGTCTTGTGGCCGCGGCCGCAGCACATCAAGTCGCACCCGTCCAAGCCGAGGGACGTCTCGTTGCACTGGCGACCGTGCGTGCCCAGCACGCCCAGACGTGGGTTCGGGTCACAGAACCCGGGTGACGTTTCCAGGTATACCAGGTCCTTGGTGCCCGGAGCCTTCAGATCGGGATCGTACGGTTTAAGCTGGAAGTTGTATCTGTTCCGGCCACCACCGCCGCGCCTTCTGCCCCGATGGCCGCCACGGCCTCCGCCTCCGTTCTGTTGCGGCTGCTGTTCCGTAAGTTGGTCCTGCGGCTGTTCCTGCTGCTGTTCCTGTTCGTAGTGCTTGTTCTGCGCGTCGTCCTTGCTGCGCATCCTGCGGAGACCGCCCGTGTTGCCGACCATCACCCTGGACGCGCCGTCGAACCTGTCCTTGAGGTTGTCGCCGATCGAACGGAATATGGGCAGTCTCATCCAGCACGTCTTCACCGTGCACGAGCCCGACATGCCGTGACACTTGCATTCCTGTTTCATCTCCGATTGTACATGCTGAAACATAAGAAACCGAGAGGTGAGGTTAGAGACACGCTGCACATGGAAGAAAAGCAGCAAAATATAGGTGGGACGTATAAATGGGTCGATCAACAATACATAAAATTTACCAGCAATATAATATAGGTCAGTGTATTACGTTGATAAATTAATATCTAATAATATACATTATCCAGTACCCAAACAAAGTCTGGTTTTTGTTTTTAAAAACAATTTAGATTGTCCCGTCTAAGTTGAGTTTACGTTTTGTTTTTTTCCTCGTCCGTTTATGGACCGACCATAACACTTTCAAGTACAATGATCTCATATTCTCATTATGTCGACGATTAATAATATTTTAGGTGTAGGTAAATTAACAATATATTCGGCCATTATATGCCGCGGGGCCGGTCCTAGACAGTGTCGAGTATAAGAATTATGGGTCCATTTAGGACATGACATTTGGCGATAGACATCTGAGCGGGGTGAAACTGCCTGCACCTGCGCACTGCTGCATGACTAGTCAAATATCATGTATCTATATTCAATTAATAATATAATTTACGGTTCATAAATTTTAGGTACACACGAATAATGCGAGGTTAAAGGTTATCGGTGCGCGATATAACGTGAACCATCGCACGATTTGTTCAGATCTCTGGCCAGCCTTTTTGCTATACATGATACTCCTATATATTATATATAGTTATATGATATCGTGCCGAGACGACCTTGGAACCTCGTAAAGAATCAACAGGTCATGACCCATTTACCGCGTCACCAGTTCGCGGGTCGACTGATTTTCCGAAAAATCTCCACTGCGGATGCATATTCCATGACCGCTCTCGACTTTTACCAAGTGCATATATATATATTTTTTTTACACAGAGTACGTGTACAACCCAGTCCGCTTTGCCCACATCGCCATATATATACATATATATAAATATATAATATACCTGTATATATATACATAATATTATAATAGACTACCGCGGCGGCGTGCCGTGATTCCGGTGCACAGCGATCTCGCTGTATATATATATATAAAGAGGTACGTATATATTATGCATATACATAATAATATAATGTTATATATTACGTTATGGTCGAAATTCAAAAGTAACGCGCGGCGCAATCGTCCGAAACTAATCTCGCCGTGTGCCACCCACGAGTAGAGCTGGTACCTATATATATATATATATAATATAATACGCATATTATACCTATCAATGTAGCTGGTATACCTATGCGTATATATTATATTCAACGAAAACGTGAATAACAAAAAGAAAACCAAGACCAAAACCGTCGGACATCGCTACCACCGCGGAATGGGATGCGATAAAATATTATATATATATAGGCGTACCCGGGACGGTGCGTAAATTATAACCACGTCAAATGTTCGGCATTCATACTTAGAATATAATAATATATTTTCTCGAGCGCCGGGTATCGCGAAAACGTCCATTGGCTGGAAATGATTACTATTATTATTATTATTATTATTATATTAGGTATATATCGTTTCGTTTATTGTCGGGAGACCGCGCTGCAGCAGCTATTGTACGGTCGCGAGAAGAGTATAATAATATAATATATATAAACGACACAAGCGGCTGTTTTGAACGGTATAAATAACGCTGCGAAACAAACGCCACGTTGATAGGTACCCTCCCCCCCTCGGCAAAATGCGAACGGACGCGCGATCGTATTATATGCGTATAAAATATATGTACCCCTCCAGCGCCGCGGCGGCGGCGGTTCCCGAGTGGAGCCCACCGTATTATATTATAATAATAATATGTATTATAAATAATAAACGGATACGCGTATATATCGATTTTAATCGTAAATAATCGTAATTAGACGGTTGTGAGTCGCGTCGGGATTGTCGCATCGTTTGTGTTTCACATGCGGCGCGGCGGCGGCCCGTCCAGGAAAAACCACCGTCGACCGGGTAAATATAAATAATATAATATAATATAATATAATATATTATATTGAAGCCATCGGACCGCGGCAGACCGCGTCTATTGTGAAAAAAAAAACGGAAAACAGGCGAATGCGAAAGAGAGTGCGAGAGAGACGGAGACGAGCGAAAATCAATGACGGAAAAAAAAACCGACCAAGACTATAGAAACGTCATGTAAGATTCGAGATCATATAATTGACAATGTCAAACGGGGTGAAAGCTAAAATTATTCCTCGTATTGTCATGTCAATTACACCGCTTGATGTAATGCTGCTGCCGGGCACACACACACACACACACTCTAGCGCGGGTCTCTCGGTCTATAAGTGTGGTTTTTTATTTACTTTTTTATACATATCTTTCCGCTCGTTCCGCTGCATCTTCAACTCATACGACGACCACGACCACGACGTATATAACTACGCATGTCGTCGTCGTCCGGTCCGGAGACCGTCGTCGTTGTGTGTATATCGTATATAATAATATACAGGACAATTGGTGCGCGCACGCGTATTGACGATCTATCAAAGCTTCGGGGGCTGCAGTGTGCGCCGGAGACTGTCTTGTTGATAAATTTATTGTGAACGCTTTTCAATGGGGCCGGTGGCGGCGGCGGTGGCGGCTCGCTGTCAGCCGATTATCTATTACGCAGCAGCCTCCTTCATTGGTGGTGACTATTTTCGCGACATCATCACTTATTCTCATATTATTGTCGTATGCGAGCTACATTATAGTATTATTATACCCCTTCTTCTATTTCGTATAATATATTATTATACTTATAGGTACCTACTATAGTATATATAATATAATGTCCTCCTCTGCAGCTTCTTCTCTCATTTCCCACCGGCTATACATCGCAGACTCGTCTTCTCATCGTCGCGCATTTTGTCGCTCTCTCTATATATATCGTAACCCCTCACCTCCTATATACATAATAATATATATAGTCACCCGTTCGCAACGCATTTGAATTTATACCGACCGAGTTATACAACGTACTAGCTATATTATGTAATACTCAATATATATAAATATATGTTAAATGTTTTAACATGCGGCGGCATACGTGTGTGTAACAATGCAAAACGTCTGCCGCGAGTGCCATTCCTCTCGTCGGAGACTTGAACGACCCGAAATTCAGTGACGGTTTTGAGACTTATTCGTTTGAGAGGTGTGAAATCTCATAGGATCAGCTTACGCATAAGAAACCGGAAAAAAAACATCCAAAGGCCATCGTTAAAAATGTTCTCGTTATTATAATATTATAATGTACCAAAAACGTTTGCATATGAACCTACATTTGGTAATTAAGCCGATTGCTGCAAGCGAAGAAATTGCAGTACCCGCATGGAAACGAATGCTTATACAGCAGCCGAATCGGTGCACTCGCGTAATTCGACAGAGATTTCTACATAATATATAATATAGGATAGGACAACAACAAAAAACAAATCGATTCCCCAAATCCGGGCCTTGTGTACAAAGAGACGCGCGCGCGCATACATTATACACAGCACGAACACAAACGCATAAATAATAATGTGATATACATATTAATATTATACATATAGGAGGTACGTGTGGTGGATATTATTATACTGCTGCGAGGTACTACAACCGCGGTCGAGGTATGCGATATATTATATAGTTTGTGTGCGCCGTGTCGTATAATATATATATATATACACATAGGTAGGTACAATAGGAAGTAATATAGTGAAATAATTACAACAAACGGTGAGCGGACGGCGGGGAAACCGCACGCTGTGATATGCCGCCGCGGCGAGGTGGGTGGGGCGGGGCGGGGAGGCTGTCCAGGGTCCATTATAATATACGGACGCGCGGCGTGTGCGTGTGTAAAGCTCGCTCTGCGGTAAACACACGCGAGTGTGGGTGGCCCGCGACGACGACTACCGCGACGACGACGACGACGACGAGGACGAGGACGACGACGACGGCCAAGACTGCTACGACGACGACGACGAAGACGAAGACGGCGACCGACCGTGCGGGGCGTTTTAGTCATGGCGAGCGCGCGCGGCGAGCGTAGCGAAACCCTACGGGCGCGGGGCGGCGGCCCGCGGGTCATGATGCTGCCCGAAGCATAATAATAATATACGGTACATGATAATATTATTATGATAGATGCCGCTCACGTTGTACGACCCGTCGCGAGGTAAATATTATATTATATACGGCGACGGCGGTCCGTCTGTCTGTCTCTCTCTCTCTCTATCTCTCTCTGGTTCCGACACACGCACACAAATCTATTTAGATACACTTCTCTCGTGAGCCCACCGCCGCCGTTGTCTCGCGCGCCGCCGCCTGCAGACCACACGGTGTTAGGAGAGAATAAATTAAAAACAATATACGTAATAATAATACCGATAATATTATAATAATATGTTTATATATGTGCACACACAGGTATTCCGCCGCTGTGTGTGTGTGTGTGCGCGCAATGCCCCCTCTGAGTTCGGTGATTTTTTTCTTCCTTCTTCTCGCGTGCACGAGCGATCGTTATTAATTGTTTTAAGTCATACAATATATTATATGCGTAGGTATCTGCTCGGCCGTTTTATTGTTTTGCCCAGCTCGAGCCCGGCCTTACTGCAGTTGTATATTGTAGTAACCACCTTTCAAATATATATTGATTGTCGTATATTGGTGTATTATATTATTGTAGACAGCAGTCGTCAAAAACTTGCATCGCATGACGATACCTAAGTTAACGCGTGGAATTGGACATAGTAAAGGAGTGCTTTGAGTCTCAAAGTTTGAGGGATGAAGCTCCTTTAATGGGCGTATATGTAGTACAATATACTTATAACTTGAAACTCATTTTAAATATTGATAAAAATCGTTAATAATCTTATAAGAAATCTAGATATCTTGACATCGATCAATATCAAACTTTTTTATGATTTATGAAATTTATATTGAAATCGAAAAAAATTAAAGCAATAATTTATATCAAAAGAAAAATTATTATTTGAATATTTATATTGATTAAAAATTTGAAAAAATTAACTAACACTTAAAATTCAACAATAGCCAATTATACAGGTCAATAATATGGTGCATCTGTAGATAATTTTGTTGAAAATTTAAATACTATTTTTCATTAATTTGGGGTTCTAATCATGCGTAAAAAATAAGATAATTTTCAGTTTCTAAGACAATTGAACACAAGCTACATTATTATCTTTCTTTATTTTGAAGAAAAATGGTAGAATCAATGGATTTGTTGGAAACTGATGATACATTTTCATTGTTAAATTAAAGAAAATATTTTGTTAAGATGATTATGCAATCTTTGAAATTATGAAATCCGTCATTAACTTTAAGGAAACAGTAAAATAGTTAATCGATAGAATAATATCATTCTAATAAATTATAAAACTGTATTTTTTCTGAGTGCAGGTGTTAATTAGTAGAGCAAGGGCTTTGGTTGCACTTAAGCATTATAAATATGCACTTAATGTATGGACTTTGGTTGCACTTAAGCATCAAAAATTTAAAATCTGTGCCAAAAAATTACATTACATTTAATATTTATAATATTAATATTATAATAGGTATACATTTTATATAGGTCCATCTTATATCACCACTTATAGTATAGGTGACTCGTGCGTATATTAAATGTCTAGGTCCTTCCCGCTGATGTAATATATTTGCACATTATACGTGAATGACCACAATGTTACCTACATATATTATAAAGGTACGATATAATAATATCCGTTTCACACGCCAGCGGATAAAATTTAGTATTATATATTTATTTGGAACACAATATCACAAAATGTAACGAAAGTATAATAATATTATTATGTGTTACAATATATGTTACATACACACGCGGCGGCGGCCGCCGATTTGTCGTCTTTCCGATGTTTACGTTATATTTAAATTGAGACGACGGCAGCGGCGGAGGATAACCGGTGGCCCGGGCCAACCAGACGATGGGAAAACGGTCAACGGCAGCAGACGTGGATAAAAGTGAATAATATTATTACACACGCGTATATACAATATTATATGTGTGTGTGTGTGGACAAAAAAAATAAAAAATAACAAATATGAAGAGTAAACCGCATACCAAACGACTAATCAAACTACTATATACCGTGTGCAACAGCGGTGGTGGCGGCGGCGGCGGCAGTATACCAAAGCCGTTCATGCGACAAAAATCTGTTGAAACATATTTGAAAAAATTTCCCGCCGGGATTCGGTTTTTTGTCATTTTTTATTTATCTGTTTTTTTTTCGTCCCCGACTAGTGACTACTATACAACTACTAGTTGTACCGGTGGTGGTGCTGCTGCTGCCGCTGCCGCTGCTGCTACAACTACTACTGCTGCTGCTGTTACTATATCCTCTCTTGGCGCACACACTTACAGTATAACAATTCTCAGCGGTGTGTCAATTAAACGTTTTGGCCCGGGAGCGAAAATTCCGACGGCCCCTTTTACATATATACGTGGGCAGCCTGAACAAAATTCGATTTTTTTTCTTTAGATCTCATTTCTGACGAGCAATTCTATTATAATAAATAATTTTTCCAATATAATATCGTCACACGATTAGTTTTCATTTTCTAAACCGGTTGACCATACAATATATAACGAAGCACTTTTCCGTCAAACGGTGTGACGACTGAATTCCCTTTTCGGCTAAGCAATCAAAGTGCTATTCAAATACGTGTACCAAAATCTACTGAACTTTTTTTTCAGATAACTTGACGTCATAATAATGATGGCTGTAGACGAATTCATAGAAAATGGCACTTTTGAAAAAAAAAACATTTTGTCAAAAGTTAAAGCTATAATTGACCTATTTTTACCCAATTCTTTGAGACACTGTACCTAGCCCCACGTGATCCCTCGTATAGTATAATAATATTTAGCCTATCCACAGTCTTTTATTCTTATATTACATATTATATGATATTAAAGGAGGTCTTAGACACTCACCATGCGGCCGGCTTCGTTGTTGTGCAGGTTCATCTTCTCCCGGAGGCTGCGGCCCCTCTCGCCAGTGTCCACGAACAACCTGGAGAACTTGTACCCGAAGTCAATGTTGTCCGAACAACCACCCCACTCCCAGTCCTTGACGCCCGGAACAGAGTTCTGGATGTACGGGCCACGCCGCTGGTGCGTGGTGTCGCACGTGCACGTCTCGATCACGCCCTCCGCGCACGCCCTGGACACCGCGTGCGTCACGCCCGCGCTGGTGATCGCGTAGATGAACGCCGTCTCCCTGAAACCTGTGGATCGTACGCCCACGCAACACATATGTTAATAATTTCGTCGATAGATCGGCCGTTTCATATTTACGAAACGTTATTATTAGGTTGGGTTTGATGGTGGAGGTGTGGGGAGAGGAGGAAATACCAAAACCGAAAACGAAAAACACTTATAAACGACGGTAATAGGTTTACATATTACACATACGTCTATATCTGTGATGATATACCCACACAGTCACGCGCACACATGAAGATATTTTACGTGATTGTGTCGTGTGTGTACGGTCCAATCAATCAACGCGCGTCGAATCCACCAGAGTGGTAAATGCACTTTGTATTTATATAATAATAAGTATATGCGCACGTGCGCGTGTTTGAACACGAATTCCGATCGCATACCAATACAGTTAATTAAGATGCACGTCAACGGCGACGGCGACTTCGACGACGGTTTTTGTGTCTACGAGATATTTCCGTCATCATAGGCGTCGTCTCTTCTCGACCGAAGAAACTCGTTTGCGCGCGCGCACATTTAAAAAGCGTATAATTACCCGAATATTGTGTATCTATGTCAATCGGTTGTGAAGTACACTTTTCCCGTAAACGTCGAAGAAAAAAACCATTGGTCATCGATGAATTAATTGCGGAGAGTCAAAGAGGCGTTTCATAGTATTATTATATCGTTATACATTCACACGACAAACCACCAATCGAACGTCAAAATATAAAGATATAATAACATATACGGTATAATGCATACGGTCTTATAATATGCGATACTTATCTTGAACATGAATCGATGAATAATTTGATAAAAACATAGATAGGTACACGCGATCGTGTCCTAACGCTTATTATCTGTCGAATTAATAATATTATGTTTATTGTATATAGCTGATGCGATAATAAATTGGACGTGTTTTCAGGGGCATAAAAAATATATAAAACTAAGTTGACATAATTTAAATTTTGTTAAAAAAAAAAAGAGGAAGTATATTTCATTCCTGTCTGCCAAGTAAACTAATCGGTTTCTCGGGTTCTGGCCACACACACACATCTGGATAATAATCCGCTGCAGGAATAACGAAATCGTATCGATAACTAATAACAATAATTACGTATAAATTATCATATTATAATGTTATTATATTAAAAGCAAATGGGAATCAAATGTCGTATCTATTCCTATTCAAAAATGCAGATAATTCAAAATTAATATCCGTGACTTTTTTAAATTTGTTTAAGTCATTTATAAAACATCTATAGATTTTTAAGAGATTCGTCTATTTTAAATTTAATAATACATTTTATTGTTTAATGAAATTGTTCTTTATTTTATAGTGTATTCTCCAAAATGATTTATGTATATTTTGTAAAAACTTTTTTATATTTAACTCAAACTTTTCATCCCCATCACAACTCATTATAGGGGAGTTCACATCCTTTTATTCTAATTATTATCAAATCATACAACATGTATATATTTATTATTTTTACATGACGTAATAAATAGATTATTGTTATTATTATTAAAATTATTTCATCGCCATTAAGCTCGATCGAAATAGTTCCCCGAGTAATTATTTTATGGACAGTGGATACCGGTAGCTACCTACCACGGTATGGCAATTTACAATTTTACTACGTAGGTATAGTATATTATATTATTATAGTACAGGTCGCGCTACTATATTATATCGGTGGTGCATTGTTCGCATTTTGAAAACCGTATAAAAACCAAAGCGTACGTCAGCGCGACGTCGGCGATTATGTGTTATATACTATTATAATACCGTCATTCGTACACCTTTACGACGGTCAAATCGTAAAATATATATAACGCCTGTCGCGACTATATTATACTATATTATTATTATACATGTGAGCATTGGACGACGACGACGACGACGATACGGATAATTGCTACACGAGCAGTGACTGCTGCCGTGCGTATAATTATATTACGGGAAGACCTGCGACGACGACCTCACGCCGCGGCGATATTATAATATGTGCGCGCGTACGCAGCGGCCGATCCCCTTTTCGAAAAACAGAAAAGAATAATAATCATAAAAAAAAAAAAATATGTTAAAAACGAAAGAAAAAACCTCCCGACCTAAACCCGTCGAATAAATAACTCGCGCGACAACAATACCGCGACGACGACTACGACGACGTCGACGATAATAATATAGTAATATCGTAACGGTGGCGATTTCAGGTGAGTGCTGAGGCCGAAGCGTATATTATTATAGGTATATAATATATATATAGAGATATGCGTACACCGTGGGAGCGTGTTCGGACGTGTGGTACATTTACACGCCACCACCCCCGCCCTCGCGATATTCCGCCACCGGCGCGGCGTCGCGAATCGGGTCGAAAGAACTGAAAACCTCCCCCGTCGACCCTTGAGCGGGGGCGTGAAGAGCATTGTGAACGCATATTTATTATTATTATTATAATATTATACACACGTATATATAGGTGTGCTGCACGGGGTTATATATGCGCTGCACGGGGCTTACAATATATATAAATGTGCGTGTAAAGGTAGCTGCGCGCGTATTACACTGCACGTGCAGAGTGCCTACCCATGCCTGTAATGGCATATCGTCGTCGCGCGTGAAAAACGGGAACGGAAATTATGTACGGGACATAAATCTGCAGACCGTTCGAATGGGAGACGCGTCGACGACTCGCCCCCCCGGGCGGGCGCAATATCTCCGAGCATATCTGTGCTGTGTGATGAATTTTTATTATTATTATATTCCATACGGCCGGTGTGAGTGAGTGTGTGTGTGTGTATATATACGTGCGTAACTTAAAAGGTGGGTAAGGTGTGCGATAATAATACGACGTGCTGTACGTCCTTCGCTCTGTCCTACAGTGCTGCTGCTGCTGCACTAAAGGCCATTATTAATACATATTGTTATATTATGTCACCGCCGCCGCAGAGTGGCTGCTACTCGTATTATATTTCTTTCTCTTTTTTTTTTTGTCCGCCACCTATCCGCCCGAGCGTGTCAAAGTTTACGCGCCATAATCGTAGTCGCCGACCAGCGGGTGGCCCAGACCCAAATACCTTCCTCCCCGCAGCTCCTGCAGTCCTACCGTTCAATATTATACGCGCGCGTACGTTATGCGATATTATATTATTATTATCACCCACAGTCCGGCGACGGAGGCATGTAATTTTACGATTTTGTATTATATATTACACATTATTATTATAATACCATCGAGTCGCGATGGTGATTGTTCACGGTGCCCCCCCTAAGTGCGCTCTGTTCCAGCAGCCGTCGCGCAGCAGTTAAATAATAATAGTTATTATTATTAAACTCCAAAAACTACGAAAAAAAAAACGCCAGCCGTATTATTATAATATATTGGTAATAATACGCGAAATCCGGTATTTTGACGCGACCAAACCGGATTTCACGACCGCGGTATGCACGCCGATAGATATGCGGCAACGGAAGCAACGGCGGCGGCGCGGGAAATCCGATACACCCGTCGCGCGAGTTTTCCAAAAGTTTCGACGCGTTTCCGTTACGCGCACTCGGCGCCCTCCACTCACCTCACACGCCGCCCACTGCAGCAACGCCCGCTTAAAGGTCAAGTTCCGCGCGCACACACTCGCGCACCGGTGCGGTGTAAACGCTCTTCGAAAAACGGGTGCTCCGATGTCGGAGACGGCTATATACCTCTGTATAGGTATATATACCTGTGTAATGGTATGAGAGCGGAGACGACGGACATATTATAATATTATAATAATAAAAACGATATTACGCGTTTGTTGTATTATATACCACCGCCACTGCCGCGGCCGCCGCCAGGTATATATTATTATTAAAGTACCCGACGAAAAAAAACACACACACACGTTCACTCGGATACTCCTACACACACACACACACACACGCACACGCACACACAAACACGTTTTTCTAAACGAAATAATTTGACTGGTTTACAGTGAGCGTGCAACCCGTCAAATAAAAGACACGTATGTATACCTTAAATCGTGTAATAAATAATATGCCCGGCGGACGGGGCATTGGGGGGGATCTGTTCGGGCACGCCGCGGGAAACCCTATGATGACGTTATTAGTCGACTAATAATCCGGCGGCGGCGGCGGCCGGGAGGTCTAATGTCAACACGTTCTTCTCTTTTCTTCCCGTCGTCGTCGCGGCTCGTACACACGACATACACGATTTATCCCCTTACCCCTCCACCGACGTTCCAACTACACACCATAGCACTCGTACGCGGCTACTATTGTTTTTTTTTTATATATATTTTGTTTTTTCTGCCGTACATTATTATTATTATGCGCATGATGATGTCGTATATGTGTATAATAATAATATGTATTATATTATTATATACCTGCGCGCTTGTGTTTATTATTATTATTATTATATTGTATGACACTATGACAGTATATAGGTATAAATAATAATAATATAATAATATCTCATCTAGAGTCTGCAGCCGGTGCAGCGACGATGACGTCCGAGTGTGGTGTTCGGACGGATAAACGCGTTGCGGACTGCGGTTTCACCGCCGGATAAACGGGTTAGTTTTTAAACGTTCGATTGATACGACACATTGTGTGAGTGTGTGTGTGTGTGTTCCTACCACTATTATACATATACATATATAAAGCCTAGTAATATTATATTATGTGTGTTGTAATATCGTAATGCGTTTTGGTTTCAGTAGTACAAATTAATATATTATAGGTAGGTATATATATTATTATGTAGGCTTGGGTTGCGCGCGGTCACGTGACTTTTAAACGTTCCTACATAAACACATTCGGATTTGTATAAATTATATCGGTCCATAGATGCTTAGTGCTGATACCACATTTTTCATCCAACGACTTTATATGCGTTTTCCTCCGTGTAATGAATTTTCATAAGAATCCGATCGTTATCGCCCGAATATTATAATCGTCGTGTAACCGTGGTAGGTTATAATAATATTTTATCTGAAACTCACGAGT